GACCCCCCCCCCCCCTCCTTCCTTCCTAAGAAAGACAAAAACATAAGAAAACTCACCAAAGCAGCCACCGTCCTTATCAACCCCGGAGCATTATCCTGAAACCACGGCGCCGTATTCGTACTCAACAAGACCGCACACGCAAAAGCCAACAACATGCCCGCCATGACCGACGACAAGAACATTTTGTCAATGCGCATGTTGGCTTTGGCGGTTCCTGCGCGACCGCAGAGTTCGATGGTTTCTTTGGGGGAGTAGGCGTTCATGACGACGTTGGTATATTGTTGTCGATGATGATGATGGGGGAGATGATGGGGGAGAGACATGGTTTTCGTGGAGAGGGGGTTTGGTCTCTTTGGTTTCTCGAGGGGGGAGGTTATTTTTGTGGAGGATAGGATGCTGAGAAAGATGAGAGATATCTCTACTCTGAACAAGGAGAAAGGAGAAGACCGAGAAGAAGACGAAGAAGAAGAAGAAGAGGTAGAACAGCCAAGGCAGGACAGAAAAGGACGTGTATGATTCCTATATCTCTTACAACACACGCACAAGATTACTGCTGCTGCCTGCCTGCCTGCCTGCCACGTCTGCCTCAACGGTAGAGCGGCATTATATTCTCATCCATCGTTCGTTCGTCCATCGTTCAAGGAAATAATTTCATATTCCCCTAAACTTAACAGTCTTGACTGCAGTAGTTTCAAAAACGGGAGTTTGATGATCGACTGGTGGGCCATGGGTTGCGGAGAGAATGCGGGTGGGAAACTCTGCCTATACGTACCTTAGTAGTGATGATGATGATGATGATGGAAAAAGGCAGGGCATGGCAGGGCAGTGCAGTGCAGGGCACAAACGGAAGGAATACAGCGTGTTGATCCGACTTCACACGGTACATTCAAAGAAATGACATGTGTGTTCGATCTAAATTGTGACGGCGCTGGGGGCTAAAACCATCTCCAAGCAACTGCCAATTCCAGGGCAAGGATAGGATGTTTAGTCTTTTTTTTTTGCCTCTTTCCATGAGGCGTCCCTTCATGGCCAATGGCCAATGGTGAGTGTGTAGGTGTATAGTCCAACGCAGGAAGAAGCTTGAACAGTCAGCCTCAAAGCGTGTGATAAGAGCTTCTTTTCTATGTTCCTCCCCCTCCCCTAAACAACGCCATTGTCGCAATGGGTCATGTTTTGAGAAGTGCAGAGGTGAAGTTGTCACAGGTGAGTGGTCGGACTTCGGTCTGTTATCTTGCCAAGATAGTCGCCAAGAGATAACATCGAAACTCTGCTTTCATTTTTAGCAGATCTGACAGAAAAATCACATCCGCGGCTGCGAAACTTTCCGCATATGCTAGTTTATGTAGTTGGAAGCACAGCTCTATCAGGAATAACTTGGTGACAGCTGCACTACTCACTCTACCTCCTAGCAGGCCACGCAAACCGTGTTCCATCTTTGCTTCCTTCCATCCGAGCGTCAAATGGAACAGGACTCAGGAGTCGGCAGTACATGGATGATGGATTCCGAGCTAGGCGCGAAATGCGCAACACTACGACGATATGGAGCAAGTGTCATTTGAAGCTTTGCCATATGTATCGAAGTTGGGACCGGCCTGGATCTGAGGTGTTTTTTTTTCCAATGTTGCGTACAACATTCGGCGAAACATTGGCCGGAACTGAGAGTGGTAGCCTTCCTTCCAAGGACCTGCAATTTCGGCCGTGGTTCATCGTACGACAGCAATTCGAACAGTGTTCGAGTGGCTACTTGTATGCCGGATCGCGTGCCAAGACCGAAGGCCGATGAGCACGATTGAGGATTGGTGTCAGCAGACCAGGCCGGACTGTTTGACTGTTCAGTCTTCTCCAGTAGCGACATCATTCCGATGAGAACTTGGTCAGAGATGTGATCAGAAGCCCCGAGGCGGGAGACGCTCGAATGAATCCCAGTGAAAGTGCCATGGAGGAGAGCGCCGTCTAGAGTTCTGCCGTGAGCAGCAGTCAGTCCGCAGAAGGAGACCCATCCCAGGGACGAGCAAGCCGTATATCTCCATTACGCTTGAGCAACAGACTTGGTTCGATCGAGTTGATGACCCCAGTTCCCACTACCAGGTGAGGCATAGGCACCTCGGGACATGCGCTTACTTGGTCAATTGGCTGGCATGTTGACCGCATTCAGGCCAGAGCAGTAGTAAAAGGAGCAGTGGAGAGATGCAGTCTCTGTTTCCATCGGGTGAACCTGCCTTCTGCGGCTTCAACAACGGTAGGCCAGAGAGGTATGTTGGTGATCCTGCTAGAGCGTCGCTACCTTATTGATCCAAGAACACCACATACCTATGGTCGCTGTGGAGGCACCCGGTCAGAGTCAACGTCAAACCTCATGCTGTGCGTCCCGTTCGACTCTTCCTGCTGTGATCCTCTCTTGCTCCCTGGTGTAGGCACATGTAGGTGTCTTGCTTGTGCTCAGTCTCGGACCATGGCATCTTCTGTCCTCACGTCGCTCTCTAGGTCCTTGCTTGCAGTCTCGCAATAATTAATAATAATCTCAGGTATGTCTTCCATAGAGCGGAGATGCACCGGAAGAAGTTGAAGCCGAAAGTCGCCAGTCCGAGCTCGGCCATTGCATTGCGACATTCAGCCAATGATGACAACGCTTCCAACGCTGACCTGCATTGCCTCTTGCCTCCTCGAGAACCACAAAACCCGACGTCAACGTCAATCACTCCACCTCCAACACCAGTCGTCTATCTGAAGGAAAACACTCTGTTGCGCGCGCAACTGTCATCGTCGCTCACCTCGATCGCTGCTCCCTCCACAACCTGATCTGCCCGCCAGCCCTCGCGTTCACGCAGTCGACATTTGGAATCGTACTCAGCCGCGGCTAGAATCGCAGGTGGAACATAAGAGGGGCATCTCTCACGAAGACTCAGCAAGAACCACCAAACGACGGCCGAATCACACACTCACCTCACTCGCACACCGCCACCATGTCATTCTCCAACCTCGTCAACGATCTCTCGCGCCGCGAACGACCAAACTCCGACCACACGATCAGAACACACAGCACACAAGATGCCCGCTCCACCTACTCCCGAGCCCGATCTTACGCCTCGACCGCGGCGACGAGTGTGAGCATCAGCGGCGATATCTCGAGCCAGCTCCACGGCGGCTACTCACACCCATTGGCAAGAGCATGGCAGGCGGAGCGACAGTTGACCAAGAGCATGCTCATCTACCCATTGTTCATCACAGACGACGCAGATGAGATGACGAGCATTGCCAGCTTGCCAAATCAGAAGCGCATGGGCTTGAACAGATTGGAATCATTCCTACAGCCACTTGTCGCCAAAGGATTGAAGAGCGTCATCTTGTTCGGTGTACCTCTCATACCGACGGCAAAGGACGCGCTGGGTACAGCGGCAGATGACCCGCAAGGTCCCGTCATTTCTGCAATCCGCTTGATCAAGCGAGCGTTTCCCCAACTGTTCATCACCGCGGACGTGTGCCTGTGCGAGTACACCACACACGGACACTGCGGTATTCTGCACGAGGATGGCACCCTCAACAACGCTCTGTCGGTCGATCGTGTCTCTGATGTGGCAATGGCATACGCAGAAGCCGGCGCCCATTGCGTAGCACCCTCCGACATGAACGATGGCCGCATCCGCGCCATCAAGCTGAAGCTCATCGAGGCCGGCATGGCACACCGAGTAGTTCTCATGTCCTACTCGGCCAAATTCAGCGGATGCCTATACGGACCATTCCGCGACGCAGCAGGCTCATGTCCCAGCTTCGGCGACAGAAGATGTTACCAACTCCCACCGGGCGGACGAGGACTCGCTAGGCGGGCCATTGAGCGGGATATCAGCGAGGGAGCAGATATCATCATGGTGAAGCCCGCAACGCTGTACCTCGACATCATCTCCGACGCCAAAGAAATCGGCAGAAACATGCCCGTCGCGGCCTACCATGTGAGCGGAGAGTATGCGATGATTCACGCGGCTGCCAAAGCTGGTGTGTTTGATCTCAAGACTATGGCATTCGAGGCTACAGAGGGCATTTTGCGAGCGGGCGCAACGATTGTCGTGTCGTACTTTACGCCGGAGTTTCTGGACTGGCTGGAGACGTGATAACGGAAGACGTTGTTGTTGTTGATGTCTTTTCTTCTTCTTTTCCATTACTGCAGGAGTTGAGAGACATGAGATGACTCTTCCTTACCTGTAACTTTTTTTTCCTTTTCATTACTCAGGAGTTGAGAGACATGAGATGACTCTTTCTACCTGATACATATATACAGCGTGCAAAATACCCAGTTTCTTTTATATTTTATTTTTTTTTCTCCCCAAGGTAAGGTACTCTTCAAAAACGACTTCAGGTACTTTTGAATTGTCGTTTTTATCCCAAGATATCCCGCTTATGCATACTACCTTGCCTATGAAACCAGACATAAGAATGTGTCGAATGGGAAAGAGCGAGTTTGCGGACTTTCCTCATCTATACCACTCACACTCACACTCACACACACACACAGAGAGAGAGAGAGAGAGAGAGAGAGAGAGAGAAAGAGAGACCACCAACCTACCAACCCTACCTGGTAGATCTGCAAGACTGGAAATCTTCTTCTTCATCATCATCATCTGTCGATTGTTCGTCTTCATCTACTGTATCTACAGAGTGGAGGAGCCTCGAGAGTCGAGGGTACATCGAATCCATATCATCAAATTGAACAACGCCTAGCCCACCCTTCTTATAAAACAAATCATACAAATTTCCTTTCCTTTCCTTTCCATGTGGCAGCCCACGCCGATGGAACCACCATTTGTATCAGGTATATATATATAGTTTCCAACCTGTATCCTGTGTTTTCCTTTTCCATTTTGGTTGCAGCTCCCCGCCCCAAAAAGAAAGAAATCTACAGCCTCGCCTTATCTTTCAAAATGTTCGCATATTTACTCTGCGCATCATTTCGATACAATACCGGACTATCCGGGTACGGGTTCGCAACCTTGTGATTCAAAGGATTGAGAACACTCGCGCGATAGAACATGTCTTCGTACACTTTGCCATCGTACTTGCCCAACGCAGAGTTCAGCTGCCAATCCGGGAAATCCCACGAGTCCACCAGCTTGACGGCATGGGGACGAATCTCCTCAAACAGCTGCAAGAGGGCCTTTTGTTGCGCGAGGCGGATTTGGGCCGTGGTGCAGGCTGCCGAGGTGAAGAATTCGGAGGACTCGGAGACGAGGGTGTTGAGGGCGTAGAGGCGGAAGAGCTTGTGCATAAGGCCCAAGGTTTCGGGGTCGAGTTCGTTGGTGGTGGACTGCAAGGTCTCATAGAAGTTCTTGACGACGAGGTATTGCGAGTGGGCTTTGCTCAGGTTGTAGAATGCGACCAGCAGGGAGTTCCACGATTTCTTGTCTTCGTCACGTGCGCGAAGGGCGGCAAAGGTGAAGAAAGAGGATCTCCAGGCGAATGCGGCGACGAGGTCTTCGTCTTTTCCGAGAACGTCAAAGGCGGAGCCGGTGTCTTGGCGTTTGAGGTAGTGGGAGAGGATTTCGGTGGTGTCGTTGTTGGGTTCGTTGCCCTTGAGGACGGAACGGGCGGATTTGAGGAGGTAGCGGGCGACTTGTTGAGTCAACATGTAGTTGTCTCCCTCCCACGTCACGGTAGGCAGGTAGTCGGCGTACCAGCTGCCCACACCGGCGAAGGCGGAGTAACCGTGGCCTCCCATTGCGCGACGGCAGACTTCGAGACCTTCGGCTGCAGTGGAGGAGCAGAGGGATTTGAGACCACAGGATGTGCCGTGGAGATCGGCGAGGAGGTCGGAGCCAGGGGTAGTCTCCTCTGGGCCGGCTGAGCGCTTGTTGTTCTGGTCTGTGACTTTCTTTTGCATGTTCTTCTGGTTGGCTTCGTAGAGTCTCATCATGCCCTTGCCGGTGAAGTGGAGGGCGAAAGTGGCGGCGAGAAGAGGGAAGAGTCGTGCTTGGACCATGGTGTAGTTGAGAGTTTGATTCTCGCCCTTCTCCCACTGCGGTGCATCACGATCTTGGAACTGGCGACGGACTGCGAGATAGCGAGTGGCGATGGTGACACCGCGAGCAAGTGTGCTTCCCGACTGCAACACGATGGTGCTACGAACCCACGTGAGAGTGCCGTAGATAAGAGCGGGAGAGGCAGGCCGAATGTACTTGCTCGTCTTGGGGTCGACAGCGGAGAAGCGTGCCATCATGGCGTCGTGTGGCACCTTGACCTTGTTGAAGAGAAGGTAGCCGTTATCCATGGTATTGTAGCCGACTTTGGGGCCAATGTCACCAGCGTAGACGTTGGGCAGCAGCTGGTGTGAATTCAGATCTCTGATGGGGACGATGAAGGGATGTGGTCCGTAGGGCTTGCCGTTGATGATGAGCTGTGCCATGACACACGCCATGTTGGCGGTCCGTCCAAGAGATCCGATCCACCATTTCGATGCAGTCAAATGTGGCGAGTGAATGGTAAAGGTCTTGTCATCTGCATTCCAGGTGGCAGTAGTCTCCAAACCACGCACGTTCGAGCCGTGGCCCAGCTCTGTCTGTGCATAGCATCCAATGTGTCGGTACTCCTCGGCAGGCTTCAGGTACTTTTTCTGCTGCTCGGGTGTGCCTTGGCCTCGGATGGTGACCAAGTACATGCCCTCGTGGAGAGCGTAGGGCAAGGGCTCACTGATCAGATCATTGGCGACCCGTCGGTCCAAGTCGGACCAGTTGTTGTTCAGGGCAATTGTAGTCAGTCTCTTTGACCGGGCCAACGCCTTCTCCCACTTGTCGACTCGTCCATCAAAGTAGTCTTGATCCTTGTTGAAGACGGGCTCGGACTGCAGCACGCTCAAGATCTTGCGCTTGCGATCGAGGGCTTCCTTGCCGTGGAGGAAGTCGGTCAGCTGGGCGACATTGATGGGAGAGTTTTTGCGTTCTTGGGCGAGAATGTCAACGCCCTGGGGCTCGGATGGCTTGAGGTCTTTGACCCATTGCGGGATCTCGGCGGCCATGGGGGAGGAGGATGAAGGAGGAAGAGGAGGAGGTGGAGAAGGTGGTGGCGGTGGTGAGATGGTCTAGAGAGGATGAGGATGGAGGAAGAGGAGGATAAGTAGTAAGAAGTAGATCCCGACACTTGAGACGCAGACCGAGAAGATCCACGGCCCAAGGTACAGTAAGAGATGGACCAGCCGAGGCTCAAATGCATATGGAGTACGTCACGTAGTCACGGCCGCGCCCGGACGGATCATGCCGCGACTGATTAGATAACGTGGAAGAGGAAGAGTCACGTGGAACAGGAACAGGAACAAGAACAAGACTGGGCCCTTTGCATGTCCCTGTTCCTACCATGGCGCCTCGTATTATCACTCACACTACCTGACCTCCTACATGCTAACTGACCTAAGTATCATTCATTCACTAAGAGGAGGTGCTATCTGATATCTCTTTCTGCATCTTTCCATTGTTTGCGCCCATTTATGTCCTGCTTTGAGACGAGGAAGTACTAATCGGCCAGTCCAGGCCAACCACCATGCCCACCGGCACATTCATTCTCCATGCCCGGCTAAATACCTCAGGCATTTTTCGCAGGTCTCAGTCTCAGGTACCTTACTACGCACGCCGTGACGAGAAAGAAATTCTCCATTTTCGGTGCCCTCCCCCCCCGCTCGCCCACCAGCCAGCCAACAATCAGCCAACAATCCAGCCAGCCTGTACAGTACTTCCCTTCAAGTACCCAACTAACCAACCAACCAACCAATTTAAGCGCTGCACTGGCTTCTTCCGCTACAAGATCTGCGCCATGGCCCAATTGCTTCATGCGACTTCGCCTTCCACTGCAGTCTGCTGATCACCCATCTTCGGCCCTAACTACATGTACTAAACTACTGTATCTACATGTCATTCGCCTCGGGACTCTTCTCGTAGTGCCACCATTGCAAAATCTCTGTCCTATCCTCCCCCGCTTCGACGTGACTTGTTGTACCTGACCGGCCATTTTGATCTCACACTCACAGGTCCCAAGGAGAATCGCAAGCATCATGTCGGCCAACGACAAGATCAATTCCGACCACGTTGAACAGCTCGAGTGTCCACAGAACGAAGCCTACCTCGCCGGAGCCATTGCCCTTGCCAGTCTGTTCAGCAGCTGTGTCGAGGCCTTTGGCTTGATACATCCCAGCCAACAATGGAACAAGGCCGAGCAGCTGTTGTTGACTCGTCTGGGCCTCCAGCAGGCTCGACTGCTGATATGGGGATCCGTGGTGGGCATTGCATCGCCGCCCGCCCAAGTCACCACCAAAGCAGTGCCCAAGAACCCCAGCATGGCCTATCCCGATCTCGCCGAGCCGACCTTCTTCGATGCGCGCGATCCCAGGCTAGACGAGCCTGATCTCCGGACCACCATCGAACAGACCCTCAGTGCCATTGTCGACCGCTCCTCTAGCAGCACGCGAGAGGAAATGATGGCCAAATTTGGCTTGAAGCCGCCCAAGAAGATTGGTCCTATCTTGGAGCAGGCCATGGACACAACCAGGTTGGAAAGCTTTCGGGAAAAGCACGAGCTACTGAAGGAGGTGGCAGAGGATGTCGCACAATTGAACACGAGGCGGAACCAATCGCTGGTCTACACATCTTGGATGATTGCTGATATCCACAAGTTTGGCAACTTCATTGACCTGACGCAAGAAAAGGTCGACTATTTGATCAACTTGCTCGATGTCAAGGACAAGGTCGACCGGGCCATGCGCATGGACATTCGAATCTTTGGTTGGCATGTGATTCCCGATCGCGCACGGACGGCACTGGATATATCCAAGCTGCGCATGTTGCAGGAAATCTGCTCCAAGGACTATCCCGAGTACTTGGTGGCAATCCAGCAAGCTTTAGACAATATCAGTCGCGAGACACGAGAACTCGCCATGTCTTCTTCTACCATCACGTCGAAAGAGCATGCCAAGTTGTTCGTTGCTGCTTCAGAAAAGGCGACGAGTGGAACGAATGACCATCACGCCAAAGTCAAGAAACGCCCCGCTCTTCTCAAACTCTTCCGGTCATTCAACCACAAAAAAGGGTCCCAGCACGAAGCCACACGCCACAGCCACAGCCACAGCGTCAGTGGCCCTACCACCAGACCAGACGACACCTCTCTCGAGCCCATTCGCTCTCATTCCGACGCGGGCCCCGATATGGCACGCCTACGCAGTACATCCATCGATACCACGATCCAGCCTCCCTTCATCGACGAGGACCTGCGGAATCGTCTCGCCAAAATGGACACGCACACCAGCGAGGGCACCAACGACGATGCCATTCTTCCCCATGTCGTCGTCGAGACGTTTGGCAAAGGTGTGGTGGTGGATACACCACTGGCGAGTCCTGCTCTGGTGTTGCGGCCTGCCAAGGAACCAGGCACCATCGACCGGCATGACATGTACAAAGGGATTGCGAGAGTGGAGACGAAGGATTTACATCAAGCTGATTATTGAGGTTTTTGTTTTTGTTTTTCCTTTTTTTTGGAAAAGAAATAAAGTGCGAGCGAGACTATGTAAACCAACAATATGTACAGAGGGTTGTGTGTGTGTGTGTGTGTGTATGTGTTGTTCATTCTAGCGAGATACCCATTCGTTCGTCGGATTCTAGTTAGTTAGGAAGGAGAAGGAATTCATGAATTCATATCAATTTCTATCTATTTGTTTTTCTTTTTGTTGTTTTTCTTACTTGTGTGTGTGTGTGTGTGTGTGTGTGTGTGTGTGTGTGTGTGTGT